GCTGAAAAAAACATAAAGTCAAGTATTTCTGTTGGTTTCTGGTGATTTTGTAATGTGCTTTGACTTTTTAAATGAGTTGATATCACAATATAAAGGATCCTAATGGTTTAACAGATGATCAGTGGCTGATTCTAAATGTATTTGATGGTTTCCTCTATTGGAAACAATTAAGCCAGTTCCTGTTAGAGAGCAAAACCGTTAGGTTTAAATCCTTATGGTTTCTAAGGGTCCTTTTTCTTTACCTTTTAGGGCAGACATTGATGAGTTCATAAAGAAACTAAGAATTAAAATAAGATTTTCACAGGCAAATAGAGCTTATCTGTCTTTTGAAAGTAAAAAAAAAAGTTGCTATAGCAACAATTTTATCAGTATTGATTATGGTGATCTATAAGAATGCAACCGCAACCCAGAAGGATAAGTGGTTTAGATGATGTGTGTGTGTGTGTGTGTGTGTGTGTGTGTGTGTATAAGAATGCAGCTCCGTCACTATTAAAATCCTTAGAGCTGTCAATCACAGTGCATTTCATTTTATTACTGGCGACAGACCTGTAACCCATCACTGTGAGTTATACTATAAAGTTGGATTGTCATCTTACCATATCTAAGAAGACAGCAGCATTGATTGGTTTTTACTTTTAAAACTGGCTGGTGTTGAATGTACAATTCTCTCATCGACAGAATTTATAATAAAACATATTCATGTAACACCATGTTAGCATGGAGTAACTTTCAACTGAGTGCTAAAATACAAAAACTCTTACCTTTTATTTAATTGGAAATATAAAAATACTTTTAAACCATTTGGTAGATGAGAGCTGTAGATGTAATTCTATGTCATTTTTGGCTTATTTTATACAGATATGTTTGATGTAATTTCTGTTTACTATATTATTGTAATGTATTTTTTGTATGTTTTAATGGGCCCCACTGTGAATGAGACCTATGTCTCAGTGGGCTAATCTGCCCCTGTATGTTTTTTTTCGAATTCAGTTGGCAGTAATTAAACTACAGTGCTATTATTTCTTATATGAGTAAAGTCAACTCACAACAACTGCCTTAATTAAAAAAAATAATTTAAAACATTTGAGAAAATGATCTGTAAATCTATTTATCCAGGCATTAAGCATTTATTTGTTCAAGAATACTTCAGGATATGCAGAGCAGAATCAAAAACATACTTTCTGTCAGCATTGTATCCTGGGAGATCTTAACTGAATAATAATAACAATACTGAGGTCTGTCCAGTGAGAAGATCACTCAAGATATTGCTTAAGTTATCTGTTTAACTGTGAAATCCTGGGTGGTGTTTCACAGAGCGGGCGGGGGGGGTGGGGGGGGTATGTATCGAAAGGAAGTCAGCCAGAGAATCTAAGACAAACATCAAGAGTGCCCAACAGGAGGAGAGCCAAGCTACATTACTGTTGGACGATCTTCACTTTTGGCTTAAAGAGCTCATATTATGGGAAAATGATTTTTCTTTTGCTTTTTAAAGAACTTTTTAAAGAGTTTGATATACCATGTAAGCGTTGATAAACTTTCTAAATCTGCTGTTCAATCCCCAGTCCATATGGTCCATATGGTCCATATATTTAAAATGTGCTGCAAAAACAACCAAACTTGCCAAGTTTTGAACTGATCTTTTTTGTGATGTCACAAAAAAACAATGCATGTAGACATTTCCCTGAGCATTTTCCTAAAAACATTTTTACATATATCCACCCTTTCAGCCTAGCAGTTTTGCTTTTTGAATGAGGCACAACATAGGTCGGCCAATTAGAACAGACATCAGTTACACAGAGACGTATGCGAAAGTTTAGGCACCCTGGTCAAATTACATGCTTTGTCTAAGTGTTTATAAGTTAACACATCCTCTACAGAGAAAACACTTCTGCATGTCTTATACATAATTGCAGTTTATTTGCTGAATTTAGTTCTATGTTTAATTTTCAAACATGTTAAACAAATAAATTAAATTTGTGCACTAAAATGTGCAGGAAAATGACAAAATGACATAAGTTCGTTCTCTGTATAGGATGTGCTACTTTCACTTAGAAAAGGAACAAAACATGTAATTTGGCCAGGGGAGTTTAAACATTCGCATACAACTGTAAATCAGTTTTTAAGCCACAGAAACAGAAACAGTCTGTCTAATTCCTGCAGATAAAAAGAGATCAGACTGAAAAATGGTCATGCAAAAAAGAATTATGATTATTTTTGGTACAAAACAATGTCATAAGTAGACCTCAGTGGACCAGAATTTTTCAGTTTGCACAAACTCATCTTTGGCTCAGTTAACTTCAGCAAGCTGCCCTGTTCAGACCACTACAGACAGATTTAAGCTGGTTTATGCTGGTTCATGCTGGTCTGGTGCTGGTTTAACTGTTCACCCAGGATGGTCATACTGGTTGACCAGCATCCAAGACAGAGCATTTCGCTGTTGTTGGAACAAAACCTTGTATCTCTAAAATGAGAACTTTACAAGAGAAGGAAAAAACCTTCTTTACTTTCAATGCAAGTCATTTTTGGCCATTTCTTCTGGCCCATTCATCATAAAATGTATATACAATGTAAAAGGCAACAGGTATTTTCAAATTATGTCAAAAACTGAAAAACGCCAAAAATAGAGATATGAGGTTTTGTCCCAACAGCAGCGATATGCTGGTTTTGCTAGTGAACAGCTATGCTAATCTATGCCAGTTTTTCTGTCAGGGTTATTAGGCCAATGCAAAACGGTCTTTTAGAAGTCTGAACACACACACACACACACACACACACACACACACATCCTCTACACCGCTTATCCTTCTGGGTCGCGGTGGGGTGCTGGAGCCTATCCCAGCTGTCATTGGGCGGAAGGCAGGATACACCCTGGAGAGGTCGCCAGTCAAGTCTGAACATTATATACATATATTTTGTGAATAATTGCTTTATCTGGCTCTCAGCTTTACTTTAGAACCGTGGTGTATCACCTTTCTTTTTGTTGTTGCTAGGCTTTAGCTTTCTAACTAGCACATTAGCAGAGTAATGAAGTCTCTGCATTCATAAAGGATGGAGTAGTTTGCTAAAGCCTAGTTTGAACATAGCAAACTGAATGCTATAGTTTTGAAGTAGGAAATATTTTAAACTATTTCATTGCTCTGAATATTTTGTGCCATTGCATCAGATTGCAAAGATTTCTGGGCAAGCTGTCCAGTCGACACTTGCGTTCACTCAGTCCCTCGACCCCCTGAAGGCTCATCTAATAAACTTCGCCTGAGCTCCTACAGTGAAGTAACAGGTCTTAAGATGGTGTCGGGGATTCCCCTGAGGAAAAATGATGAGGCCAAGTCGAAAAAGTCTTCTTAAAAAGAGTTTTTAAAATTCATTTATTTATTTTTTTGAGTGAATATTAGTCATCACAGATGAGCGCTTGTCTGACACATTTGTAAGCATGTGCTCTACTATTAACCAGCTAAAATAAAAATTCTGAGAGGTATTTCACAAAGCAGGATTACTCAGTAAAAATGGTGGTGAATTACAAACAAACAACAACAACAACAACAATTATCACAACAACAACACCAATAATAATCATAATAATACAGTTATAATAATAATAATAACAGTTTTAATTAAATTCTTTTCATAAACGGAAGGCAGTAAAAACAAAAAACAACACTGCCCGTCCACACAGTCCGCAGCATACAGCCGCAGCGGCACCGGCAGCGTCTGACATCTGGGGTCATTTCGTCCAACAGGTGGCACTCTGAGTTTTCAGACAAATCTAGGGAAAGTACCTTCCATTGTGCTGATCATGATCATAAAACATTTTGCTTTTCTCAGTCATGAAGGAGAAAGATGAGGGATTTTGGGTGCACTTGTACAGTTATAGAATACATGAATGAATAAATAAATAAATAAATAAATAAATAAATAAAAACTATGCAAATAGTTGAGGTGGGATGAAGGAGTTGGAAGGGTCTAAAATTGAGACCAAACTGTTGTCATGATCTGTCATACAATATTAGACTAGTACAGCAAGTAAAATTATGAGTTATTTGCCAGGCTGCAACAGAAAGGGTGGTGTGGTGGTGGTGTTGGTGGCAGGATGACATGATGTAAATGTAAATACAAATATAAACATAAATATCCAAACATTTTCCTTAAACACTCTATGAAGAAACCTAATCCTGAATAATACCTGACCTCTGAACCAAAATCTAATATGAGGTTTGCACATCATCACAGCAACATCAAGTTCAATGTCATTTTCTCACAACTAGAAAAGAGGATCAAAGATTTTCTCTAAAATGTAGTGTAAAAGGTCCAATAAAGCTACTTAAAAACAGCAGTAAATCAGTCTATGCATCCAAAAGTTACTTGAGAACAGGAGGGAGCTGCAGCTCTTTTTCTTTCTCCCTTTTTCATTCATGGCCCTGCGGAAGAAAAAATAGTCCCCGTGTTTGAGTCGACACCCACTCAAGTTCGCCTTTTGTTGCTTTTTTCCCCTGCTGATTAAAATCATAATACAAGATGTGAGTTATTCCTAAAAGTTGGATATTTATTTACCAGCTACGTTTGATTTCTAATTTGGGTCACTTGCCTTTTTAAAATTAGTTTTAACCCTCAAGGCAAGTAGATCTTACAAGAAATTAATACTGAGCCAAAACTAAGCAATGTGTTCAGAGTACTTTTAAAACTTTTAAAACAGATGATCAGCCTGAATAGAGGGTTAAACCACAGAGGTGGACCTACAGGACAAGCTTTTAAGTTTATTCTTAATATTAATGTAGGATTATTTCCAAAAGATGGATCAAGTTAACATAACTGCAGGCAAAAATGTGAAGAAAAAAAAACATGCTTCCTTCCTATCAGGACTGTGTGTGAATATCTTTTCTTTCTTTCTTGTTTTTTTTTTTATTCTTTATTTTGTCTCATATAAACTCACCACCTCAGTGCAGTGCAGGCCGGCCGGCGGAAGGATACATTCCTAAAACGTCACCGTCGTCGTGCTTCGGCCATCGCCAAGCAAAAATGTCCGCCTAAGGGAAACTCGCAAGTTACATATTAAGTGGATATTTGCAAACAAGGAGGAGAAAAATATAAAATATAATCACACAGATATCGATTTGGTTGTCTTTCGGAGGCGAACCGAGGAGAGACACACCGCCGCTGCCACGCCCGATCGCCCTAGTCGGATTTTAAACCGGAGAAAGAGGTAAAAATATTGCAGATTGTTGGAGGTTTTTTCCAGAGAAGTTGGGATACAAGAAAAGACTGGAGCTGCCGTGTTGAGAGAAGCGACACTAAAAACCTTGTACCGCAGGCTTTTTCTCTACTTTTTCTTACTTAGGCTGAATGTGGATATTAATTTTTGACGTTTCTGTCTTCCAAAAGGTCGTTATTGCTCATATAGACACGATAAGCCTTGCTGAGTAATTGTTTTAAATGGAGACCAACGTGTTTGCAAACTAACCGTTACTGCTCTGCTGCCTTGTAGTCAACAGCGGCGAATTTTACACAGATACCGTCATGTTTTGGTTCCTTTCCGTATGAAAATTAAATTATAATAGGCTTTTTTTTCACATATAATATCGTCTCTTTTTCAATGTATACGTTTATACAGGTGCTGCATGCCCATGTGTGACACTCCAGGCTTTCATGTACGAGGCTTTCTCTCTCCTTCCTCCTCTTTTAAGTCTTTTACCTGTGAATACAGTAACGTAGTTATGCCTGTTTCTTCTCCTGAGCTTTTGAAAAAAGACTTTTATTATTGAAGATGTCATTTTTATTCAGTTAAGCACTGTGTATTTGCCCTTGGTGCTTGACTAGATGCAGCCATATATCCTACAGTAGTTGTGATAAGAGTGGAGCTAACATTACATTACATTACATTACATTAATAGAGCTCATTCATGATTTTCAGGATCAGAGAAAAGCTAAAACAGCCCATGATGAGATGAGAGACACAGGCAGGCTTATACACGTTTTTAAAGGCGTGAGAAAGGGGAGGAAGTCAGGGTCTGAATTAAAGAGCCGTGCCATAAGGGGTTGTGTTTTGCCATGGTGAAGGTGACCACATGAGCATATGAGTGTGGTTTAGTTTGGCAGCTCACAGCCACCCAGTCCCATTAGAGTTTGTATGTGTGCTTTTGTAGGTTTAGTAAAAGGCCGAAAGGATGAACCCCCAGCAGCGGATCGCCGCTCTTGGAACTGATAAGGAGTTGAGTGACTTACTGGATTTTAGTGCGGTAAGACACTTGGGTTATTCTATCACTCCCTTATCTGATTTGTCACTGGGATATCTCATTTATCACCGATCATTTAGAATAGGGATGACCCGATAGTCTGCTGAGCGTCATGTCCTTTCTTTGGAAGGGATTTCCAAGTTTCCTGTAGCATGCTTATTATTTACCTATGATCTAATAATTCAGGTCTTGATTAGACGGAGCTGGTGAGGTGAGCTTACTAAACTGGTGTTTGGAGGGGAGCACATGAAGACTCACTACAGCTGTTTCATTGTGTTTAATACATTATTTCACTTTACTCTGCTTTATGTATGTATTTAACAGGGACAGGTAGCCCTAATCAGTGTTATTTCACGATGTAAATAAGCCAGATTTAGCCAAATGGGTCATTTTCATCTGCTGTCCCTGGGCAGGTAGATGGATCAGATTATGAACACGACTGCTCATTTTACTTTTAAGGGTTTTACTTACCTCTTTGAAGTGTATATATATATCTATCTATTTATCTATCTGTCTATCTGTCTATCTTCTGTATGTGTATATTCATATATGCATGTCCATATTTATGTATGTGTGTTCAAATACACACACACACAGATATACTGTACATATATTTATATATGTAAATTTACAAACACAGCAGCAGCTCTTTACATGGTGTGTAATGAGTAAAGTAATGACTGGCCCAGTATGATGAATGGATGTATGTATATACAATACGTATATAATATATATATTTATATATATGTATGTGTGTGTGTATGTGTATATATATGTGTGTGTATATATAAATAATTTAGTTTTTTTTCAACTGATCTGTTATATTCTATTTGTACATGTGCTATTAACACAAGTAATCTATCTCTATATATACATATATATACAGCATTGTACAAATATATAGCATTGTACAAATATCTATTAATTAATGAGTATTAAATCATATGCAAAAGTTTGAATGTCATTGGTCAAAATGCATGTTTTGGTCTCCTAAGTAAAAATAAGTGAACACTTCCCCTACAAGGAACTAATTTGATTTTAAAAATGGTATTTTTCTACAAATTTTAGTGCACAATTTATGTTTTTTGGGGAGGGAGGGCACTTTTGCACAGGCCACATTTTATTTATTTATTTATTTTTTGTTAAATTCAGCAAATAAACGGTACTTGTGCATTAAAATGTGTAGTATCCTCTGTAGAGGATGTGTTAACAAATTCTCACTTCAAAACATGCCGTTTGACCGGGGTGCCCAAACTTTTGCACACAGCTGTGGTTACGTTAGCCTGTGTGACACGCTGGAGCAATTGTTAGCACAATTCAATGGCTGTGAAATTTTCACAAAATAATTAGTCTCTGTTCCTCTAGATGTTTTCGCCACCGGTGAGCAGTGGGAAAAACAGGCCGACCACTCTAGGAAGCAGCCAGTTCAGCGCGTCAGGTACTTCCTTTAAGAATTTTTTCTTTAACGAGACTCCGTCTCGCTCGCTCTGTTCACGTGCTGCTGCAACGAGGTGCTTTTTCAGTGCAGTTTGATTGCTGTTGGTAAACCTAATGGATTCCAGATGCTTCTGAAGGTGTTTTAGATTTTAGAGTTGAGGTTAATGAGGAGCCAAAAGGAGACTGTGCAGGTTCATGTCGTGGTTTTTTTGTGGCCTGCTCCCCCCGCCCCCCCCCCTTGGTGTTAGGCGTTGCAGCTTGGACTGGAGAACACATTTCGAGCTTCAGACATCCATCTGGGACTGCGATTGAACATGGGGCTGTAAATATGTTGAGATTGAAAGCAGCTTTTTTGTCAAGTTTGACATTTTGCAACATGTTGTTGGTTAGACAGCCATCTTTCACAGCATCATTAGCAACTGAGGCTTTCTCTGAGGCTTCGTTGTACCTTTTCTCAGCTCTTGTTCAGTTAAAACTATCTTGAATGTAGTGCTTATTTCAATTAGGCTGTAAGCCCATCTGCCCCGGTTGCTGCAGCCCAGTGGTTGGTGTAGAATTATTATTATTTTTTTTTTTTCTTGTGCCAGAAACTCAAGGTCACACCAGCGTGATTTCACTGGAGTGAATTGGGTATTGTTTCCTGTACAGGGTTCTTCTGCAATGCATTTGTCGGGAATTGTTTCATAAAAAATACACTTTCTTTATTCCTTTTTTTTTGGTAGTAGGTGCTTCATCCTATTTTCTTTTGTTTAATTGTATTTGATTGTATTGAAACTACAGCATATCATCCATATGTTTACATTATGTTTTATTTAAACTGGCGGTTTGACTTTTCTACATGTGCTTCCTAGCTTTTTCCCTTGAGGCTCTGCTGTCCTCATTGCCCTCTCTTAAAGGGCCCATATCCTAAATTTTTTCTTGTATTTTATTTTTTCTTCTTAGGTCCACTTTTTATGTTTTTTTTGTGTGTTTATTTAGCAAAAAATGGTCATCGTTCATTTAAATGACCATTTCAAAACGTCCCTATATCCCTTAGAATTAAACAGGCTGTTTTTGCTGCTGTGCCTCTAAAACTGTATATGTGAATGACCTCTGTCCTGGCTGCCCTGTACTGTGCGTTACTAAGCTGAAAAACTCCTTATAACTTTATCATCAATGGGTGGGGCTAAACAGCTCAGCAGATATATGTAAATACGAGACATCACAGTGAATCAGTGAATTCAAATCAAGCTGCTGTTGCTTAGTTTCTGTATATGGACAGTGCAGTAAATTGTACGTTTGAAACTTTGACAATGTTTGCGTGCTACGTCAAACTCTTATTTCAAAAAGCAGAGGATATTTGATTTTCCATGATATAGACCCATGATATATAATATAGACACTACTATGACTTACAGTTGTTGTTTAACCCCTTTACAATCCAGGCCTCTTACATACAAAAGCTTATTATTCAGTGGCTAGAGGGACTTCAGTGCAAACTAATGGAGCTATTCCTAGGTTATAGAAGTGTGTAATAATACCTTGGAATGTTTATATTAATACTTTGGCTTGGTGTAATAATACCATGGGGTTAAAGGACCCATATCCTACACTATTCTTGTATTTTATTTTTCCCTGAGGTTTTTTTATGACGTTTGTGCAATTTGATGTACCAAAAACGGTCCTAAGTCATTTTTACAGGGCCATTTCTTTAAACCTGTGTTTATCCCTTAGAGTTAAACTGTCTGTTTTTGTTACTGCGCCTTTAAGACCGATATATGCAAATGACCCCTGTTCTGATTGGCTGCCTTGTACTGTGCTTCATTCAAAAAGCAGTCTGAGTTGAATTACTATTCATCTGCAGCACGAATGGGTGGAGCTAAGCTGCTGTGGGCTGAATAGGCAGATATGTAAATGTGCTGTTTGTTGCGACATCACAAAAACAGCTAATTCAAAACAGGCTGTTTTTTTGCTGCTTGGTTTCCATATATAGACTGGAGAGTGTATGATATGTTTTGAAATCTTTACAGTGTTTGAATATTACATCAAACTCTTTTATTAAAAATAAAAGTGAGAAAAATTCAGTTTTGCAATATATGGGCCCTTTAAGACAGCTGGCTGTAGAGAATACAGTCAGTGTTGGTTTATATATAGTAATATGCCTTTAAAACCTCAGTCATGTCTGGAGAGAAACTACTACAGCACATAATTCTAAAGTACATCTATTGTCTAATGTGAGCGTTGGAAAAGGCAACAATCGCGCATTATGCCTCCTCAAAGCATGTCTTATGTAAAATAACAAAGCAAGGCCCTTGTTGCGCTTTGTTTGCTGTCTAAAGAACACACGTTCAGTGGGTTAGTGAATGGCGCGGCAGAAGTGTCTGCAGGGAGCTTTTGTGAATGCGCCGTGTGCAGTTTGTGATGTAAGCTCGTCCTTTAAGTGGTCAGATGAATGAAGCGTGTTCTGATAGATGGGTGTGTGGTCTTTGGTAAAGCTAAATATCGAAACTCAGTCCTTCATGGTAACGACCGAATTACCTCGTCAGCATCGGTGAACCAGTAAGCGCGCATGGTTCAAAATCTAGACTGCTGATTGGCCGTCTGAATTACATTCTGTGTGAATATTATTAACATAAGCACTCAGTTAGTCTGCAAACGGTTGCAGTCAACAGTTTGCATTCATTCCTGGATTATGTTATGTCCACTTTCAGTTTGTAAAGAAAAAATAAAGATAAGTTGGTATTGATAAGCCACTTTTAGCATCTTATAATTAAAAAAAAGTAAGGTAATTTTTACTCATATTCATTCTTTGCTGTTGGAACCTACTGTTGAGTTTTGTGAATAAGCTAAGCTGATATGATGCAGTCCTCTTGCTGTATACACTCTTAATTCAATATAGCATGGCATTCCTGATTATCACATGACCCAAATGGCAATGAGCACACCCTGTCTGATTTCCAAAATAGGACACTTTGAGTTGAGCAGCCTTCTTGGTGAGATGAAGAAACACCACTGGTGATTGACTTTGACACCACAATCTTTGGCCTGTCTTATGAGTAGAGACGCACGATCAGAATGGGCCGAGATTCAAAATCAGGAGATTTTAGCTCCAAACACTCTGCTATGGTATTATTTCTGTGTTGTGGTGTAAATAGTGTGAGCCAAGGAAGTGCAGTCATGCTGTATTTGAACGTCATCACGCTTTTATGGTTATGCGTGACTCCAGCTGCCTCTGACTTTCAATGTAGCGCTTTATTTTATTCACATTATTTAAATATCCGCTGATTTTGTTTTATTTAAAATGCCAGTTTGACAAATAATGTTATTTGTATTGTGGCTAATAGAAAACTCTGGAAAAGTGCTAGTGTGTTTCATGTGTTCAGCCCACACAGCATGGGCAAATTACCTGACCCTCCTGATGATGCTGCTAAATAAACTAAAACTAATCTAATTAACCATTGCTCCGCCTGTTTTCCCTGTTTTGTAATATAATATACTAATGCTGTTTGCTGTCTGGTGTCGACCAGAGGAGGATGGGTTCCCCTTTTGAGTCTTGGTTCCTCTCAAGGTTTCTTCCTCTTGCTCTTAGGGAGTTTTTCCTTGTCACTGTCGCCATTGGCGACGCTCATGGGGTCTTCGACCCGGATTTTTCTGTAAAGCTGCTTTGTGACAATATCTGTTGTAAAAAGCACTATATAAATAAACTTTGACTTGACTTGACCTGTTTAAACATACATTTTTGGTGGTCAAGTTGTATTCGGAATTTACCTGACCGGCGTAAACGGTGAACAGTGTGAGCGGATTACGACTGGATCACTCAAACCATATTTTGAATGCATTTTTGTTATCCATGTACAATAAATGCCTCTGCTAAGCGCTGACTAGCTGGGTGAGAGAGTAAACATCTAAACAAAAGATGGAGTTTAGCCCCAAATCAAGAGCCTTCTTGCACTCTGGGTTAGATAAAAGCATCCAAGCAAAGCTTAACAACTTATGGGGGGGGGAAAGTAAACGAAAATAAAACAGCGTTTGTGTTGGTGGGCTTTTTACGCGGGAATATTACAGTCGGGTCTCGTTTGGTCAGACTGGAGATGCATTTTGGTGAAAAGTGTAATCCAGCCAAAGTTATCCAGATATGATCTGAATGCTAAACATCTTAATGTAACGTGTAGACAAGCTCAATAAGGCAAATAAAGTTCGTCCAGAAAACAAAAAATCAGCCTTCTGAAAATTTGGCTGTAGCTCCGGCCTGAAGCATTAGCTCATGGCTTGTGCGTTAGGTGGAAGTGTTTCTATGCTGGTGAGAAACCAGTTAGGAAAAACCTCACTGTGTCTTTCTAATTTCTCAAATATGATACTTCTGTAATGTTGCATCTTGTAATAAAAATGGAAATATTAACTTATTTTTGGTGATTTTTATAGAGATGAATGAATGTATCCAAAATATTGGCATTGCATGATTTGGCCGACGTTTCAAACCAATATTTGATGTATGTATGGTACTTTGGAGGAGCAGAACATTTAGGTGACTCTGGGTCACGGTGCTAAAATATTTGCATAGTATTTGTTTTACTCTGTGAACCTACAGAAATAAATGCCAAATTTGGCCTTAATGCTGATCTAGGTGTATAAATTCCAGTGATTTTTCAACATTTCTGAATAAGTAAATGCTTTAGGTGCCCACAAAGTAATTCACAATGGCTTCATGCGAAATGCTCCGTTCTAGAGAAGCTTACTGAGTCAGAATTGTTCACAGTGGTGGTGATAGGAACCAGACGTCTGAAGAGTTTAATGCCTCTAAAATCTCCCTCCTTGAAATTGATGACATGAAATGGTTATGAATACAGTTTTTGATACCTGATACATTGTTTTACGATGGTTTTGAGAAGATTTTGGCCTACAACACATTTTTTCCAATTTATTCACTGTGGAGCGGTACTTGCAGTGGGTTGCGAGGCAAAATAATCCCCCCCAAAAACATATTTTTTAGGATTCATCACTATTTTACCATTCTCAGCATTG